GGTCATTGTGAGCTCAACTTGGGCTTTTATAGCCTTCTGAAAGTAGTGTGTGGCCTGTGTCGATGCCAGGAAGTGGCAGGTAGCTTGAGTGATAGGCCTAGGGAAGGCTTAGTCCCAACTCTGCCCTGAGGCAGTGGGCTCTGTCCTGCCTCTGCTTTGGACAGGAGGCCCATTGGGGTTCTCTTGGGGTCAGTGTGAGGGGACAGCAGGCAGCTGAGCCTGCCACTACATAGGTGTGTGGCAGGCAGGGACTGTATCATTGTCCTATGAGCTACATGCTGGCTACTTGGGCTTGGTAACTTGCCCCAGGCTATGACATGCCCAGGTGTTGACCTGTGCCAGCCCGATGGGGAGCCCATGGGCTCTATAAGAACAAGAGTTTGAATAACCTAAGGAAAGCACCGACCTGGGCAGTTCTGCTGTGGGCCGGTCCAGCCTCTGCTCTACAGCTGTAGTTTCAGAATCTGCTCCACAGATCAGCCTACTTAGGATAAAGACGGAGGAGACTTCGGGGGCGAGGCTGAAAGTACCAGTCTTGGAAGAGGGTGTTTCCGACCAGCCTCACTGAACCTTGAGAAGTGCCTAGCCATCCTTGGTTCTTCTGCTAGCTTTAGGCCTCCTCTTACTCTTGGGCTAGTGTTGCTGGTTCTGTTTGATCCCAGAGCTTGCTCCAGCTGAGGGGCTGAGGAGCACTCTGCTCCCACAAGGCAAATGAGGACACAGGCTTCTAGAGGGGTTGTGGTTTGACCACCCATCCTTACTCCCAGAGCAACTTCAAGCCCAGCGTTCCCCTGCCTTCACTGCTCCAAGCCTCTCTGCATGTCTCTCTCTGCTTCCCCCCTTTTTGACAAAGGCCCGTCAGCTAATTTTGCTTGCTTTGATGCATCCAAATGCCATAGACATGGGACTCTGCATCAGCCCGGTTCACCAAGGACTGCCAAGACTCAGAAACCCATCCAGGGACCCCTGAGAGCCAGGAATATGGCGTGGCCATTGTAAGCCCTACTCGCTCATCTCTGGTGTTTTTCAGGGAGGCAGGACCTCCAGTGCTTCATGGCACAGACCTGTGTGGGAATAAGTCTCAGGTCCCAAAGGGCTCCTAGGTCTCTCAGCTCAGGACACACTGAGAGATGATGTGCACATCCACTTTGTCCCCCTTCCTGCCATCAAAATCACCTAGAATAGCCCAAGCCCAGGCAGCAGCCACTGCTGGAGCAAATAGTTTACAACCAGGAGGCTCAATTTTCCTGTCTGAGAAATGTGTCCAATTAAAATGGCCTATTCTTGGGAAAGTTGGAAAGATAACATGTAATAAAGTGTCCGGATTCACCCATGTCCGAGGAGTTGGGAGAGGGCCTTGGTTGTGGGATGCATGAGAAAACTGACCCTAATGTTACCCAGAGGATATCCTCAGGGACAGGAAGAGTCCTAGCTGCATCCAGAGCCTGAGACATGGGCACACTGAGAGTCGTTAAAGATAGAGCTGCCACTGCCTGCCAGGCAGGAGGCAGGGAGCCAGGGGGTCCTTTCTTCACATATAGTTCCCCTGCACTAAGGGTGGCTATGCCCATCTGCAGATGAGCCACCATCCACCCTGGCCATGTTAGGCTGGAGCTCATGGTAGGAGAGGATAGGCCTTGGAGACTCTGGGGACCAGGGCAGCACACTGGAACCTATTGGCGCTATCAATGGTTTGTTGAACCAGGTCCTTGAGCTCAGGCTGTCTGCAACTGAAAAGGATGGGCTCTTCTGAGTCAATTCTCGATTGTTCTCTCCTGGAGAAAGCAGGCTAGGGCCTTGGGCAGCCCCAGCCAAAGTTCCAGGAGGGATGGGGAAGCCTAGAGTCCCTCCTCCCTCTCCCCACTCAACACCTGGGCATGTCATAGCCTGGGGCAAGTTATCAAGCCCAGGGAGCCAGCATGTAGCTGGCCACATGAGAACACATGTAGCATGCTAGTTGCAGGGACCCTCAGCCCATGACCCTCACCCCTCTCGTTTGACCTTACATGGGTTGTTCTCTACAAACTACCGATTGCCTCTCGCCTCCCTCCACCAGCCCCCATCTCTATGACAACAGACGGAGGGCTTGGCTCATTAAAACCAAATAAAAACGGCCCTAGCAGGAGTGGCAGCCTGATGAGTAACTGCTGAGTAACTGAGTCAGAGCAAGTGTGGGCATAAGCAGGTGAGAGCTGAGGCCCGGAGCGGGACCCATGCGGGACGTCTTGGGTCGTCCCGAAACACACCTGCCAGCCAGGGCACCTGCCTGCTTGCCTGGGGCTTCAAGATAGGTTTCCCCGGTCAGACTGGGAGAAGATATACAGTCTCTGGTGGCTGCCTTGGCTTGGGTTGGGGTGGGTGGTGGATGGCACCCGCAGCTATCTGCCTTCTATCACAAAATTGTACAATCATTTGAATTTTCTAGACCCCTGCATTGAGTGCTTGCAACCTGTGCTCACTAGGAACTCAGCTTGGCCTCCACGGAGCCCCCATCCTGGGCTCAGCGGCTGTCTAGCTGCCTTGCAACCAAAGGCACCGCCCCAGGGTGCTGGGAGTCTCTCCATTCTTGTCTCCTCTCCCACAGCCACAAGCGATGTATGTGCCCAACTGGGGGCAAAATAGGTCCCAGGGACTTATGTTTGGGCCCCGAGCCCCTTCCTAGTTTCTCTGGGCTTTGTATACCCATGGTCAGGTTCAAATCCCACCTCACTCACTAATGCCCGCTGTTATACCCTTTCACTGTCGGTAAGAACAGGGTATGGTTAGAAAAGAGCTGGGCGCGTGGTGGAAGCACGTGAGTGCTGGCTGCGATGAGGACACTGAGCTGCTTTTGAAGGTTTCAGAATCCTGTCATTGTAGGGTCACAGTGGGCTTGTTGTGTGTCTTGCCAGCCGCTGTGCTCCCTAGGGAGGAGTGCACACCCCTACAACACAGCATGCGTGCCGTACCTCACAGCCCCACACATATTTCAAACTCACAGCACTACACTAATACCAGCCTACCCCACGACCTCCATGGCACCCCCACCAGGAGTCGGCCTACGCCTCCACAAGACTTCCTTCATTCAGGGTTTCCCATCCTCCAGGGAGCCTTCCTAATTCCACCCCACAGGAACCGGTTAGGGTGTCCTCTGGGGTCCGGAGTCCCATGCCCCATGCAGAACTTACAGAACTCCTCCCTGGAATGGCCATGTCCATCACCCCCTCAACAGCTGATCAGCTGACTTTGCCAGGCCTGAGCAGAGGGGAAAGAGAGCCTGCCATCTTCCCTAGGGTCTTGGTGACCTAATTTAGACCCAGGGGTGGATTCCTGCACCTGCCTAGTCTCTGCTCTGGGTAGGGCTCCTGGCCAGCCTCTACCAGTGCAGGGACAGGGCAGCCCTGGGTCCTTAGAGCAACGCTGGTAACACATTCTGGGAAGACTCCACTGGGTTTAGGGACTGTTTCCCTTCTCTCCTACCGCCTGTCATAAATGGAGCCCAGAGCCCACAGATCCTGGGAATGCATCCTGGCAAGAGAGGTGCCGTGGGGGTGGGAGTGGCCCAGCAGGGCAGCAGGGCAAGGTGGAGGCTGCCATAGGCCTGAGACAATTGGCTCCATCCTGTTCTCACCTTGAGGATAGAGGGTCCTCTAATGATCTCTCCCTGGAAAGACGCCCTCAGGTACACCTCAGCTTGTTGGTAGGTAAGTAGGCTCAGGCCAGGGATAGAGTTGGTTAGTGGCGTGGCTTATGGACCTGGCTTAACTCTGAACCATTCTTCTGTAGTGAGTGGTGGGTCACAGCAGACACAGGCTCCAATAGCAGGGCCTGCAGCCAAGTACCTAAGACAGGCTGGGACAGGCAGGTGCTGGCATGGGGCCTTGCTAAGGGTAGGTCCTGTGTTTCCTACCACCTTAGCCACATCTGACCACAAGATGAGTTGCCCATAGATGAGATGGGAGGGGGCCACCCCTCTCTGGAGCTTACCCTAGGTTCCTGGGGTGGCCTTCATGATCCTGCAGGGCACCCACCCACAGCCATGAGCTGGAATCCTGAAGAAAACAGACAGGAGGTGATGAACAGGGAGGGACCCAAGAGTCGAAAATGGAAGGCTTTCAAGGGCCAGCCTGAGACTGTGGAAGATAAAAAGAGAACAGAACAGGTCTCGCCACATCACTTGAGGGACCTTTGGACCTACAGGGATCCAGGGATCCCCCTGGTGGAGAGGTTTCCCCACAGGAGCAGCAAGAGCTTCATCCTGAGGAGTCTGCCTAGAGGAGGAGACTTTAGGGCCAAGCCTCAAAAGGGGAAGGGAATCTTACCCCAAAGACCAGTAAATCTACAGGGGTGTGAACCACACCCAGAAGGCTTGAGTCATCATCCCTGACAGAGGATGGGGAAAGGGCTGAGGAAGAGAGGCAGGTGTCAGCAGGAGTAGGGTGGGGACTGGCTTCCTTTTGCAGCTCTGTTGGTCACAGGCTTGGCTCTGCAGCAGAGGCTGGCCAGTGAATATTCTGGGGTGGAGGGGTGCCCTGCCTAGACTACATTTGGAAAGACCTGGGAGGTGACTAGGGATGGGTGGCTGCTGCCCAGAGGTTAGAAGGAAGGGGAAACCAGGGAGCACAAGGCCTGAAGTGGACTGAAGATGAGCAGGAAGGGAGGTAGGCTTCCGAGCTGTGTGGGGCCCTGACTAGGGTACAGAGACTCTGGGCTTCCTCATGGCCCAGAATACCCCCTTCTGCCCAGAACACAAATGACCCGTCCCTTGGGAACAGGGAGACAGTATATGGCAGAGGAATGTGCTGGTAGGTCACTGCAGACACAAATGACAGCCAAATGACCTCACTACATCCCTTCAGGGTGGGGTTCACTTTAGTGAGTTGCTAGCTCAGACAGGGCAGGCGCTGAGCCTAAGGTCACACAGCAGGGGGATTACACCCTCCTGTGACCACCTGGTCCAGAACACAAAGGCCTCAGCACCCGAAGGCCTCAGCACCCATACCTACCGACTCTCTCCACAGGGAGTCGTGAGGCGGCCTTCACCTACGCCATCACCGCGGCAGGCGTGGCACACGCCGTCACCGCTGCCTGCAGCCAGGGCAACCTGAGCAACTGTGGCTGTGACCGGGAGAAGCAAGGTTATTACAACCAGGCAGAAGGCTGGAAGTGGGGAGGCTGCTCTGCGGATGTGCGCTATGGCATCGACTTTTCCCGGCGCTTCGTGGACGCTCGAGAGATCAAGAAGAACGCCAGGCGCCTCATGAACCTTCACAACAACGAGGCAGGCAGAAAGGTAGCACCAGGGCATGGTGGGCGCGGTGGGCGTGGTGGGCGTAGTGGGCATGATACCTGCCTGTCAAAGGACTTGGACTGGATCCTCTCAGTGTCACCTCTGTGTCTCTGAAGCCCCAGGCAGTTTCCCCGTCCTTTCTGCGGGCGTGACACCTAGGGTTTGGACATGTGGGACCAGTTTCTATGTTGAGCATGAGCTGGGCCTGGCTGGAGACCTGCAGGTGGGCCTAGGCCCCAGGCCATAATAACCCACATCTCTGGATCTAGAGGCTAATCAACAAAGCAAAGCAGAGCAAAGCACAACAAACCCGAACAAACAAAAATACTCAGACATCTGAGAAGAGAAAAAGAAGGGAGATTATGGTCTCCGCATGGGCAGGTCCAGTCAGCTCTTGGAATAGCCAGATTTGCATATGGGTGGGATAGCGTGAGGGCGGTAATGGAGGAAAACCGGGCCAGGACACACTAGGGAAGAAGTCAGGGTGAGCCCGGCCACCACTGGGAGATGAGGGCCCCAGATACTGTGCTAGCAGGAGCGGCTGCCGCGGCGGCAAGATGGCCCGAGATAGGGCAGCCAGCCGAGCAGAACATGGGCTGGGCCTGGCTCCTGGGTGCTAGGGGCTGCACCCATGCCTGCAGGGCCCGGGGGCTTCTTGGGGCCTGGGCTGAACTGCCATTCCAGGCAGAGAAGCATTGAGGAATCCTTCCACCTCAGGGACTATAGCCCAGACCAAGTGTCTCATTCATGGATTTAGCAAACACTCCGCCTTTTTTTTTTTTTTTTCCTCTGCCAGGCCATAGTGAGGAATCCCACTTAACTAGGGGGTCTGGGATCACTTAAAGGTATAAAGGGCCCAGGGAAAGGCACAGGAGCTTCCGGGAGGAGGTGGTCTAGGAGTGGGATCTTGAAGGATATTCGGGGAAAGGTGAGAAGGCTGATCCTGGGAAATGGCCGTAGTCCCAGCCAGTGGGAGCCGGAGCAGGTGGATGGGTCAGGCCCAAGGAAGCAGGTGCTGGCATGAAACAGGAGGGGGATGCCCCCACAGGGGGTTGTTAGATTATGGTGGCAAACAGATGAGCAAAGAATGGTCCTATGGCCTCCAATGGCTTCCTAGAGAGACCCGCATCTCCAGACAAAGACCAATTCATAGTATAGGATTAAAGCTCACCTGACAAGGAGGCTGAAGAGGGGGGCCTCCACATTGGAGGACAGGCAAGGCTGGACCCTCACGGGAGCCCCTTGAGTCTCTTCAGTGGCTTGTCTCTAAACAGATTTTTTTTTTCCTCTAGAAAGGAAGATTTCACTGTCCCCAGTTTGCAGATAAGGACATGAGCCCCAGGGCAAGCTGCTGCAGAGCTGGTCAAGTGGTCCCTCGGGCCTGAGTTCTGGTCTCTGATCAGTGGGACAAGGATTCTAGGCAGAAGGCCATCTGGGTTCCAGCTAGGGTTGTCTCCAGTTTAGGTCTGGGATTGATCTGATAAAGAGGTATAAGGGGTTAAGGCAGGCATGGTCCCTGGGGGTATGGGAAGATGGAGGCTGGTAATGGGACTAGGGACTAAAATGAAGGATGAGGGGTGAATCCTGGCAATTGTTAGCTAAGGGGAAGAGGGCATACAGACAGCCCAGACCCTGTACTAGGGGTCTGAAGGAAAGCGGCACCATGAACCAAGATAGAGAACAAATCATGAGAGACCAGGATAGGTGGAGGCTGGCTAGGAGCCATAGGGAAAGGCAACTGTTAGAGGGTCAGTTGTACCCAGGCATGGCAGCGCGTTCACTGAGGTGGACATGGACTGTGAGTTTTAGGGTAGCCTGAGCTATGTAACGCAACCCCGTCTCAGAAAGAGAAAGAGCCAGACATGGTGGTGTATGCCTTTAATCCCAGCACTCAATAGGCAGAGGCAGGCAGATCTCTGGGATTTTGAGGCCAGCCTGGTGTACATAGTAAATTCCAGGCCAGCCAGGGCTACCCAGTAAGACCCTGCCTCCCCTCCCCCCCCCAAAGAAACAGCCTCGGTTGTATGGGAGTTGACCCTGTCCCTCTGCTGAGCCTAAGTCTCCCCCATCTGCCCAATAGACACAGACACTTTGTCAGCCTCCTCTGCCGGCACTGTAGCCATGAGCACACTTTGGCCTGAACCCTGAAAGCCAGCCAGTGGCTGCATGTGGGCCTTTTCTCCCAAGCAGCTCGGTACTAGAGCTAGCTTTGGTGGTGGGCTGAGAGGCTGAGAGGCTGAGGTTGCCGCATGGCTCCTGGGTATTTCAGACTTACCCTAGGGAATCAGATGACCCAGAGCACCTCACACTCACAACAAAACAGGACAGAGCCATGCCCTCCCACAGTCCTAGCACTGAATCCTGGCTTAAGGTGTGGTGAGGCCAGGCCCTCTCCAAAGACTCTGGGATGTATTTAGAGTGTGAGGCAGGGGTTTTACTTGCCTTGACCAGATTCTGGAGACCCCAGCATTTGTTGTCTTGTGTCTGCCTTGTTCCAGCCCCTGCTGATGACTGTGTGGCCTCTACCGGGCTGTTGTTTCTTCTTTCTCAGTATCTTTCGGACCACACTATTCCAGACGGACACAGTTCCATTTTACCTTCATCTTGTCCCGGGAGGTCACGTCTGTGCTTTCCTGTGATGGAAGTCATAGGCAGCAGCCTCCAGCCATCTCCCTCCCTGTTCTCAGGCCGAATGAACTCGGACAGGCATCCTGGGTGGGCTGGGGTGAGATGGGCTGAGCTTGGAGACTAGATCATCATGGCTACCCACCCAGCCCTGCTTCACTTCTCCATTATACTCCATGGGCTGTGCCAGTGACTGGGCAGAAAGAGAACTATCCCAAAGAATACTCAGACATGAAGGAGCCTGGTCAACAGTTCCTTCCTTTGGCAGTCCCATCATAGCGTGGAGCAAGGGCGGTAGGAAGATGGAATGGATACCTGAGAAGGTAGAATCTGTGGTTTCTTTCCTCCATCCAGACACGCTGATGACCAGGGCTGTTCTGTGAGGTGCTGTGCTCAGGTCCTCCCATTGATACCCACCAGGCTAGAAGCTGTCGCTGGGATCTGGGGGAAGGGCACCCTATCAGCCGGCCACAGGCTGTGTCCCGACCAGGGATTTCTGACAGTGGTGCTGTGTGGTCTTATTATTCTGGTTGTATGGATCTGGGAGGGAAACCCTTGCGGAGCCCAGAGTGTGGTTGCTGCCCTGAGGCCAGTAAGACTCACAGCCATTCCTGCCCCCCCCCCAATCAGACAGAGCTACAGGGCAAAAGCCATGTTCCCTGCAGCTTCCAGATCTCCAGGGAGGCCAGGCCACTGCAGGCTCAGGAAGCTAAGGGCATGATATCTCCACTGAGCCTCTCTCCGAGACCTCAGCTGCTCCTAGGCTGAATGTAAGGCACCTTCCCCACTTATTTCTGCCTCGCTGGGATAGAGGGTGCCAGACTCCCTTGGGCTGTCCAATCTTCTCCTGAAAGGCTCTGTTCCCCAGCCTGATGATTACCCTGGCCTGGCCAAAGAGAGTGCTGCTCCAAAATCCAGGACCCTCTTGGACCTTACCCTGGGTGCAGTTGACACCATGTGCCTGTGTGTGTTAGAAGGGACCAGGCCTGCAGAGCCCTCAGCCTCAGCCCAGCCCCTCAGGCAGGAGGCCCCTTCTGCAACCTCCAGGTGTCTCCTGGGCTCCTGGGCTGATCTCAGTGCCCCCATGCTCCTGGCTGCCCCTGGCGCCACAGCTGCTGTCGCTCTGATGGTGAGGGCTCTGGAGAAGGAAACGGCACATTCTTGAATCCTGTGATCACTTCCCGGCGAGGCTCCAGCTCAGGGGACCCAGCCAAGCGAGGACTCGGCCCCTCACTCTGCAAACACCTGCCCAATCAACTTCATCTGCCCTTGTCACCAGCAGGGCTACACAGAATCTGATTTCCTCGGGCAGGCTGGGGTAGGAGAGAGCAGCAGGCTACAGATCCCTGGTCGAGGGGTGTCCAGCAGGCCACAGTGACACTGGTAACTGACTACTGAACTGCATGGCCCCAACCCGAACCCCACTGATCCCAGCCATTGGAGGAGAGTTGTCATGTCATCCAGACCCTAAGTGACAGGCTGCTCCTGCCTGGGGTCCAGAAAGGCCAGTCTAGCTAGCTGCTAAGCTGGTGGCCAGGGCAAGGGACTTAACAAGCTCAAAGAAGACTAGTAGAAGGGGACATAACCAAACAAAGCTGAGCCAGGGGCAGGAGAGTTACCAGAATGGATGAGGGAAGGGAGATTCGGGGAACAGGCCCCAAGCATGCCTGAGACCACTCTGGCCCGACTCTCAGGCCTTTCTGGTCCACCCACTACGCCCCCTTCCCTCCACAAGAAACCTGGGCCAGTCCTACCTCAGCCTCCCGCTTTCTCCTGCCCAGCTGCCCAGCTTCTCTAGTTCCTGCCACAGGCTGTCACTCACATAGTGGAAGACAATAATGGGGATACCGCCCAGGGTCCCCCCAGCGGTGGGGGGGCATACAGCCCCATCTTCCCCTGAATGGCCAATGGTACTGTTGTATCTTTTGGTAGGTCCTCTTGGGATGCTTTTCTGTCTCTCTAATGAGCTCCTACCTTACCATCAACACCCATTAGCAACATCACCTTCTCCAGGAAGCCCCCACAGGTACCAACACCCCTGAACAGTTCTGAGCTCCCTCAGGCCCTGAAAGTCGTCACAGCATCTGTTTCTTCTTTCCTTCCTTCCTTCCTTCCTTCCTTCCTTCCTTCCTTCCTTCCTTCCTTCCTTCCTTCCTGTTTGTTGTTTGTTTGTTTACCTTGGCTGTCCTGGAACTTGCTTTGTAGACCAGACTGGCTTTGAACTCAGAGATCGCTTGCCTCTGCCTCCCGAGTGCTGGGCTTAAAGATGGGTTTCACCCCCACCCAGCCCCTCCTGTTTCTTTCACTGGAACATGTGCTCCATAGGTTCTCTGTGAGGTTCAGGGAAGGTTCTGAGGCAGAAGCAGTCTCTGTGGGGTTCTTCCTTTCACTCTTGTTTTCATTCATTCATTCATTCATTCATTCATTTTTTTCATTCATTCATTCATTCATTCATTCATTCATTCACTTGTGGAGGCTTCTTGTCTAGAGCAGACAACCTGGGGGCTGACAACAGGTGCTCTTGACAGTGGGTTGCAGCCTGAGGGTGGAGCTAGGGGCCAAATGCCGGAAGTCCCAGGCTGTGGAGGTGAGGCCAGTGAAGCAGGGACAGCTGACAAATGGGCCCTCGGCAGTCACAGGGCAGCAGCTAACAGTGACTCCCCATCTTTCATGAGGCCAGCTGGCAGGGCTCTTTCGATCTTGGTAAATGAGTACCTGGGGTCAGGGCTGCCTCTGGGAACTGGCCTTTCCAGGCGCGAGGGAGGCCCAAGGAAAACACACGGAAACACACAAGGAAAATGCACCCATCCCGGGCCCTCATGCAGCTGGGAGAAAGAACAACAACCGGCTAGGCCTGGCTGTCGGCTTCCCAGAGGATGGCACGACTGGGCCTCGCTGACCCGTGCCCTCACCCTCCCGGTTCCCTCCATCCCTGGCACGCCAGGCTGTCATTAAGCAGCTGGCTGTTAAGCTCTGACTGCATGCCAGGCCCTGCACCAGGCATGAGGGCGGTCTCAGGGAGATGGAGACGTGGAGGGCCCATGTTTATCAGTCACCCGCTGGTGCCCAGCCTCTCCCAGCACAGTGTCCCTACCGGGTACCTGGCTCCCATTGCTTCATCAGGGGTGGATTTAACCAAGTCTAATCAGATACTCCACACTCTATGGAGAGCCATGGGGATCCATTCCCAACAGTTTACACCAACGGGCACAGACAGGAGAACTCCGGGTGGCACCCAGCCTCTTCCATTCCCTGCTGAGCCCCCACTCTGTTTCCTGCAGGTTCTGGAGGACCGCATGAAGCTGGAATGTAAGTGCCACGGTGTGTCAGGCTCCTGCACCACCAAAACCTGCTGGACCACGCTGCCCAAGTTCCGTGAGGTGGGCCACCTGCTCAAAGAGAAGTACAACGCGGCTGTGCAGGTGGAGGTGGTGCGCGCCAGCCGCCTGCGCCAGCCCACCTTCCTGCGCATCAAGCAGCTGCGCAGCTACCAGAAGCCCATGGAGACGGACCTGGTGTACATCGAGAAGTCGCCCAACTACTGCGAAGAGGACGCGGCCACGGGCAGCGTGGGCACACAGGGCCGCCTGTGCAACCGCACCTCGCCCGGTGCTGACGGCTGTGACACCATGTGCTGCGGCCGGGGCTACAACACGCACCAGTATACCAAGGTGTGGCAGTGCAACTGCAAATTCCACTGGTGCTGCTTCGTCAAGTGCAACACGTGCAGCGAGCGCACCGAGGTCTTCACCTGCAAGTGAGGCAACGGCGCAGGCGCACACGGCACCTGCCTGCCCTGCAGCCCTTGCCATTTTGCACATCCTTCTTTGCTTCCGGAGCTGCCGGCTGCGGGCACAGGGGGGTGGAGGTGGGGGTGGGGAGCTCAGATACTCCAGGCTCCTTCCTGCTGGCTCTGTCCCGGCCAGAGGCACAGCTGTGCCCTGACTCGCCCAGCATCCAAGGCCAATGCAATGGTCTGGTACCCAATGGAGACGAACTCCTTTACTTCTCTTCGGGAACGTGAACCTCAAAGCGACCGTGAGACTCTGAGGGTCACCTCCCTGTCTGGTGGCTGGACACAGAAAGGTCACACCCACCAGTCACACTCAAAACTGTTTCCTGGGCTCTGTTCTGCCGGCCCCTGGCAGTATGGACGGATGTTGACAAAATTATTTATGTTCTTTTTTTTTTTTTTTTTAGCATCAGATGAGGACTCAGTACTAACGACCGGGTAGCCAGACCTAACCCTATTTCAGGTTGCCCCGCCTCTATCTCCTTTTCCTCACTTCTCCTGGCCCCTTGCAGGACCCAGGGAAGTCGGAGTTGTCACGGAGGCTGGCTAGTGGGGTGACTCCTCAGTAGCACCCTGGGAGGGACTTGGTAGACCCACAAGGCCTGAGATGGCCTTAGAGGACAGCCCATCTTCCATTCCACGTGGAAACTGTCACACAGATCAGTTGTGGCTTGTGTTAGGGTCCGGGCATGCCTCTTCCCCTCCTGGTCCTTCACCCCCTCCCAGCCCTCTGCCAGCCTCCACCTCCAGTTTACAAATCCCTTTCTTCTCTGGAACCAACCTGACTCCCAGGACTGCCCCCAAAGGTTCAGGAGAGGTCAGGGACGGTTGCTCCATGTGACAGATGGACACAGGGCAATCTGAAGATTTGCTGGAAGGCCCAGGCTCTGTGAACTATACCGCCACAGCCCGAAGCAGCCCAAACTCTGGAAGTAGCCAGGGTGGTGGGGAGGCTTTATCCCCTTCTCAGTGCCTTGGGGTTTGTCCTTCTACCCTGACCCTGATGCCAGAGAATTGGCATCCAGAATTTAAGGCTGTATCTGCCAGGCTGCCTGGCTACTGTCCACGGACACCTGCTTGAGGCTCCTCATATCCCGAGGACATGGGACCCTCAAGCAGGGGTCTGTGGGAGGCTTGCTGTCCTGTTTCCTCATGACCTTCCAGATGGGGACAAAGAACTCAGGCCCGGGGTATATCCCACCCTCTCCTCCACAATACACGACAGGGGTAAGGAACTACCTGGGTCGGTAACACCACCACCCACAGCCTTCCCCACACTACGGCGTTTCATAGCAGAAGTCCACGGGAATGCGGGGTTTGGTGGCCACCAAGCCAGGTGGCCTGGACATTGACCTGGGGAAAGTGATCCCTGTTTACCCTTGCCTTGCACCCAGCTGTGTGTCCCTATCATGTCAGGATGTTACAAGCCTCTGGACCACTGGCGATGTCCCACCCTGGTTCTGGCCCCATCTCCTCACCCCCAAGTCCTGGGATGCCCAAACCTATAGCCCAGTGTCCCCTGTAAGGAGCCTGGTTAACTTATATTGTTATATAGTGTCCCCGTCTGTCGTGTCTCTTAAGTTATTGTGACCTACACTGGGTACCGGAGGGGATGGGGGATGGCTTCATTTGCTCTCCCCCAAGCCAGGCTCCTCCTTCTGCTTGAAACAGACCCTCGGGGGCCCTTGATGCCACCGAGGCAATTCGCACTGTCCCTGGGCTGCCGGGCACCTGCGCCTGCACTCGGTCAGCGGCAGACCTTGCCTTGGGGGAAGAGAGGTGGTTAGTGGACCCAGGCAGGGCACTGGCTGTCCCAATGCTGTGTGCTGGGGTGGAGGTGGCCGGGTACCACATGTCCTTGAAGTGCCCTACTTCTGATGGGCTGTGTTCTGCCTCCTCTGGAGGGGAGCACTTGGCCCCAATAAAAGCTGGAATCAGAAAAGAGACTTGTGTGTGGAGTCTCCATGGGACACCCTTGTAGTTCTTGCCTTGAGGGTGGGGGCACACACTGCCCACTGAGGCTGAGCTCTTTCGTCTTTCTTGCTTCCTTCACCTCCTCTGCTGGCTGAGGGGTCTGCTTCCTCCCATTCCATACTTGAGGCCCTTGGCCAGGCTCTGCTGGGATCATCAGGCTTGCCTGCCTCTAGCAGCTGGCTAGAGTCCCTGGAAGCTTCTCTGGATAATACGGGGTTTAGGCTGCAGGGACACAAGGCCTAATAGTCTGGTGCCCAGGAACTAACCACAGGTCTGGGTTCAATATGCCTTCAGCTGGAGGCCAGATAGAAGGCCCCGTCTTCGACTACATTTCCCTCTAAATTCAGAGTCCTAGGCCTGATGATTTGGGGCTGTTTGTGGCAAACTTCAAGGGCCTGTCTTGTTCTCACAGGGTCTGAGCCCGGAGTCCCGAGGGGTTCGCAACCTCAATGGCTTGCCTGGCCACACTGCCTGTGGAGACCATGCCCTGCCTACAGTGAATGGCATTTCTACCCAGGGTCAGAAGGCATGTGGCGGGGCCGGTTTGGCCACTGCCCTCTGTCCCGGGGAAGCCTGGCATTGGGTTGAACTGCTGATCCAACAGCTAGCCCTCTGCTCTAGCTCTCTGCTGGGCACTCACAGAACATGCCTTAGTTTCTAGTCTCCTGGAGGGCCCTCCAGCTGTGCTTCACAAAGAAGGGGGGGAGTGCACCCCTCTAGGGACAGGAAAGACCCTTGTTCCTTCCTGATGCATGGAAAGCCTTGAGACGATCCTCCCTGAGGCATGGCCTCTGTCTTCCCATCCAAGAGCAAGAGGTAGTCCAAGGCTGGGCCTTGAAGAGCTCTAGGTTGAAGCATGCCTGGGGCCCAGGCCAGGGCTGGGCAGGCTGGCAGGAGGCCCTGGGTCCCCATGAGACAGTCACCAAATCCTCAGTGGCGGCTGCAGTGGAGCTCAGGGTCCGGCTACTCCCACAGGGCCAGGAATGAGGAAGGAGCCCTGAGAATGCCCTGGCCCCAGTGCCCAGACTGTACTTATTTCTTGGCTGTGATTCAATCCCAACCTGGCCTCCCAGGGCCAGGGCACGCATCCTTGGGGGCCCTGCCTGAGGCGTGGAGTCCGCATTGCCTGGCCTGGCCCCAGGCCCTACCTTAAGGCACTGTGAGAGCATTCACCTGGGCCAGCCCAGGTGTCCCCCGGTGGCATTTTGTTATCCTTCAAGTGACAAAGTGCTAGCCAATTGTGTACCTTGCTGGGAACTGCCTACCCCAGTGGCCTTTCTTCTCAGCATGCCTAATGCTACCCTAGAATAGCCTGCCTTGCCCAAGAACATGGAGGCTCTCAGGCAACAGGAATCACGTGGACCCCAGAAGGGGGGGGGCACTGTCACTGGGAGAGTTTGTAGAAAAAGTCAGCCCATTGCCCATCCTACCCCCCCCCCATTACCTCTGCTTCTTCACATCTGCAGTCCTGCCCTGGCTAGGGTGAGCTCTAACCTAGGGCTCCAACCATGTGTCCCATTACCCACTTTATCCAGGTGGTGCACACTCCAGCTGTACCTAGAGTAGGAGGGAGCGCAGAACGTGGTCCTCACAGCTACTGGAGGCAGCCTACAGGGAGGAGAAGGAACCTAACAGATCTTCCCTATTCAGGTATCAGAAGACAAATATTCCACAGTACTGACCCCACCCCCGCCCCAGCTCCCTCTTCCTCCGCCTGAAGACACCCTGGCCATGTGCATGGTGGCCATGCCAGCTCAGGGCTGCCACTCCCCCACTGTGCTCCATTGGGACATTCTTTCTTCTACTTTCTCCCATCTCACACTCATATCTTCCTTCCCAGGTCACCTGAGCAAACTCAGTTCCTTGTCTTCACTCTTGTCGCATGGGTGGGTAAGGGGGTACCAAGCCCCACACAAGCTGATTCCTCCTTAGCCAAGCAGTCCATTGAAGAGGAAGCACACCCCCCCTCCCCAGGCTAGGCCTTTCTTTGGTAGTCTGCTGCTACCCATGACCTTCACAACATCTCTTCCCGTACAAATTCTCATTCGCAAATGGCTTAACCAAGACCCAGGAATTATGGGGAAATATCTCAGGATTTAGACCCATGTCTTCTGGGGTCTTCTTTCTCTCCTAACTGCTATTCTCCCACCTGGGGACATGCAAGGTCAAGGATTTTCTCTAAGACTCCACAGTGGGAAGAGAACGGCTGAGGCAGGTCTCGGAGGAGAAATACCAATAATGTCATCTCTAAGAACAGAGCAAGACAGCTGGGCTTGGTGGCACGCACCTGTAATCCCAGGGAGGCAGAGGCAGGCAGATCTCTCAGTTCGAGGCAGCCTGGTCTACAAGGCGAGTCCAGGACAGCCAAGGCTACACAAGAAACCTTGTCTCAGAAAAACCAAACCAAACCAATAAACCAACCAATCAAAAACAAAACAAAAACAAGCAAAAAGAACAGAGCAAGAAAGACCAGGTTAAGAAGCAGCAGGCAAGATCTGGGTTAGACCTCTCAGTGAACTGGAGAGAGATAAAGAGGGGGTAGCTGTGGACTAATGAAGGAGGCATTCTGGATGAGTGGGTGGGTGGGGTTGTGGTCTAGGGCCTGGCGTAGCAAGGAGGCAGAGAGTAAGGGAGTGAGAGATTTGAGTGGAAATATCTCTGACTGTCCTAAAAGGAAATCAGGGGGGTGTCTGAGCAGAGTGGCAGAGCTTGCTTTAGGTCTCTACCATAGAATCAGGCCTCCAGGTGATGCCAGCGGGGACCTTTGAACTCACACCTCTGTTCTCCTTAGTTTACAACAGGAAATGGACCCATCTGTTCATCAGATCCTTGAACATGAAGGACTCCATGACTGAGGTCCAGTGAACTGTGTATTTCAGGACAGAACTCGAGTCTGGGGTCCCAGAGAACCATAGGCTTGATGCCACAGCCATGGCCAAGAAAAGGAACCTGGAGGCGGTGTCTGAAGAAGACACTGGAAAGGGACCAAGCTGGAGACTGCTCTGCCCACCTCGGGGACACAGGAGCCCATGCTGGGTAGGCTGCCCGGTGTCCTCTTTTGTTGTGAGCCCCACTGGAGCCCCATGTGGCCTTTCAAGAAGGCTGCAGGTAGGGGATTGAGAGTTCTCTCACTCCACCTACAGGCAGAGGTTTAGCAGCAGGGCAGCAGGGTTGGCTCACCTCCAGGGGCCAGAGACATGTCCTTTCTAGACAGCTGGTCCCTCCTGGGTGAGCAGCCTGTTCACCTGAGGCGCAAGGGTGGCCTAAGAACCCCGATCTTTTTTTATGTGTGTGTGATGCGCCCTGTAAAGAGCCACAGCTGAACCTCTGGAAGCCCTTGGCATGACTTGTCTGAGGCTCATCCCCCATCTTCCTGCAAAAGCTGCATTTGGTTGGATGCTCTGCCAGAGCAGGCTAAGAGCTCTGTCTGTGAGCCCCTCCCTGCCTTCCCATTTTTGAGCTCCAGATTTTTCTGTGGAGGCATGGGACACAACATCCATCCATCCACGCAGTCTCAATCAAGTCTTTCATTTCTTTACTTGTCTGTCATTGACAAAGTCTTTGGTGCTTAGAGGTTAATGGACCACTGTGAAGACTCAGAGCTGAGTCTGAGATGGGCATTTTTTTCCTCAGAAAACCTCAGGCTTTGAGTAGGGGAAGGCAGTCAGAGTTTTCCTGTGGTCCCTGAGCGTGGGGAGCCTTCCACAGCAGCAGAGAAACTGGAGAGCATGGATCCATGGAAGCTCTGCAATGGCTTCCCGAAGCTGAGGCCAGAAGCAAAAGTGGAGGCGTAGGGAAAGGAAGAAGGAGGTCCTAAGGAGATGTGAACTAAGAATCAGTAGAGTGAGGAGCCTGGAGTTTGGAAAGTTAGAGAGCTACTCTGAGCTGATGAAGTTCCAGAAAGTTCCATATGCATAGAAGGGAACCTAAAATTTCGAGCCCTATAAACTAAGATTCGGCAGAAAGGCTTGCTATATCTGCTGGTAGCTTGCAATTTTATGACCCTCTGGGCAAAGGGCCTACCACCACAGAATGCCCATGGGCATCCATCATGAGAGAGAATGGTGTCCTCAGTCCAAGAATCACCAGGCTTTGAGGGTGAGGGCTCCCGGGCTGCAGGTTGGCCTGCGGTATTCTGAGGTTTTTGGCGGGGTGGGGGTGTGTTCTCCACAAGGTCTCGCAGATCGTAAAGATATTTTACAAGTAGCCTTCATGTTGCTCCTTGCACCTCAGTTTCCCTGCCCGAAGGGACCTGTGCTTGCCCTAGGACTCATTAACCCCCACCGAGTAGCCTTCCCTGGCTGGCCTTGTCTGTCCCTACAACACTAACAAGGCTTTGACCTCTTTGTCAACCAAGCTGGAGGGTGGAATGGGATACCAGGCCACCAATGTCCCTGACACAGAAGAGGTGATCCCACATCCCCTCTCTAGTTCCCAGACAAAAGGGACAATTCCATTTCGATGACAAATACTGTGGAGGGGATGGTAGCTGCAGGGACAGCTGAGTCACTGGGACATCATGGGAACAGGGCATGCTTCTGCAGGGAGTGGCACTCCCCCGTGTTAAGGTCCCATTTTGCTAGGAAGGATTGTGACATCAGGGTCTGTAGGTGCCTCTCAACTTGGGGACCTTGGGACGGACCAAAAGGTCCAGTCAGGAACTGGAGAGGACCTCAGGCCACAGTTCCCAGATCTGCTGGGCCTGAAGGAGCACACTCCCCGTTGCTTGAGGAATTCAAGCATAGTTTGATCTCCAGTGGAGAGAGATGTTCTGATCTTATGGTTCTCAGGTCCTATGTGGCTGTGTGCTCGGTCACAACCTCATAAAAGGGCATAGGACAGGGAGGCAGTGCTGAGAGGTCCTGGAGAGATCAGTCTGACCACACCCCCTGGGCCCTGACCTGGTAAAGTTGCTCAGCACCAGAAGCTCCTTGCCTTCCCCTTGCTCATGATCCCACAGGTA